GGAAAGAAAGGATCGGTCAACAAAGTCAAATGCACCTCAGAAATGCAGCAGGTGCAAAATTATGGGCTTCTCAAAATGTGGCGTTGTCCTAGCCAGCACCTGATGTGGTGTGAAAATAGTAGTTACCAGGTCAAGATCTCACCTGTTGTTTTCAAGCCAATTGTTCAAGGGGCACTATAAGGCGATGAAGGACAAATGAACAATCTCGTTAGAGGCAGAACCAAACTGGTCCCCTGTGAATACCACATTCACTGCGGCACTTTAAAAGACGGATACTAGCAGCAGTTCATTCCAATTGTCTGGGACAGCTTCCTCCAAGTTAGAGAAGAATGTATTCAACGAACACCGACGGAGGACCTCATCTCCATCCATGGACAATATGAAGTTACCCAGACCGTGGATAAATCATGGTTGTACGGCAGTGAAACAGCTATAATGAACGCTGTTATGCTGTGGATGATGACCAGCCAGACTAGGTGTTCGGTGGCGCTGGTGAGCAGCCGCAAACCTCCGAAGCCGTAGGAGGATTCAAGTCCGTCATCTAAGACTCTAGTGCAGCCCAAGCATACGACTGACGAGCGAAAGGTAGCGGAATGGTTGTTCAAAGTGTTCAACTCATAGATCAAGACGTTCTTCCTTACTGGAGGTTGGCCCCACAGTTTGGTTTTGACGGTTCCACCCAAAGGTGGGTTTGAGGAGATCGGCCGAACAAATGCACCGGATTAATCCCGATATTTAGGAGGTTACTCGCCTCTTCCATCTCCGTAATCTTCCGTGTTCACCACCTGGCAGGCGCATTAATTTTAACTCGACGTTCATTGGCCGGGTTAAGTTATGTTCGGGAGCAGTGGGAACGTTTCTCGAGATCCAAGCAACGCCACTGTTCTGGATATTTAGTGATTTAGTGAAAGCCAGCGTATCACGGATGCGTATATATATATATATATATATATATATATATACTTTCGTGGGGATCGCCTGGTTGGTCTTCTAAAATGTACCACACCAAGCCGGACCTTGCAGTCACCTTC